ATATATATATATATATTCCAAATATATATATTCAGATTATATATAATATATATAATATATATTATAATATACATAATATAATATATATATAATCTGAAACACTCTCCATCCTGCTCTTTGTTCTCTCCTCATTCCCCTAATCTTTTGTACACCCATGCTTAGGTGTAGAGACCCCAGATGTATAGATCTGTTTTTCTTTTCTCATGCCAGCAGCTGGAACCAGTGTCTTTTTGATGTATACCAAATACTACAGGGCAGAAGAAGAAGAAGATAGGGAGAAAGGATGTGCCCTTGGGGATTGTAATCCTGTAGACAACAGAGGGAGATATCAAATAGCCTCCTCAGAATCTCAGGCCAGGTACTTTCTGCTCCTGTTTTCATCATGGCTTGTGGATAAGGCCTCCCATATCAGCAGGACCTCTTCTGAAACAAACACCAGGTCTGACCATGGGACCTCTTAAAGGAGGACTACTCAGGAATCACTGAACAATTCTGATTACTTTAAGTGTTCCCATAAATACAACTCTTGTCATGCCTATGGGGTGCTGTCCCACTCAAGTCTTTGACATAGAAATTGGCAATATAGTCAGTAAAAATACCACAGAATGAGGCAGTTTTAGTTTTCTATGAACTAAAGAGACACAGATACCAGTATACACCCATAGAATGAAACAGAGTTCCTGAGCTGAGAGAATAAAAACTGTCCGTTGGCTCAGCAATGCCAAGGAAGCTGAAACTGCTATGTTCACTGTCCAGTATAGCCTAGCTACATCTACATATCACCTGGCTTTTGTTTCTATAAATTATAACCACTTCTGTGGGACTTGCAGAGAAGCAGTCTAGCTGCTGCTCCTCAGTTTGATCAGATGGCATAAAATTCATTTTTCCATTGTTTGTCTATTTTTTATGCAGGTGGGTAGCTGAATCTGGCCAGCTGTGATCCAAGTAGATTCCTTGGCTGCTGGTAACAACAGAAATACATTGACATGGGGACACATTTGTGGACAAGTGTCCAGATGCACCATTCCTCTCCTGAAGTCTAAAGACTTACATCCAAATGTTCCATGGTCACTTTATTAAGGGCTACACAGGAACGATGAAGCAGCTCACAGATGATGGTGTCTGCTCCCTTGCAGAACAATATTACCCGATTTTCAGGAGTCCGCACTAAAGATAAATTAAGCAAAACAATCATTTAAGCCTATTGTTATAAGAAATTATCTGGGTCACTGAGGATTGGCAAGAGGCTATTTCCCATGACATTTGTTTGTGTTGCCATTGGAGGCTAAGAACTCAATGAGTGGTCACATAGGATAAATGATATGGTGAGGGCTGGTGAGAGCAACAAAGGCATCTATGGAAGGCGTTTAATATCACTTGTGGAAGACTGATGCAGAATGACATTTAGCTTATCAATTCCAAGTCTTAGACCAAAGCCCAACTTAGTAAGGACAAAAGATGAAAAATGACCTTCTTTCTCTTCAGTCTGAGGCCAAACTGATAGAGGAAGCCAGATAGTATAAATTTTCCCATACAATCATTTTTCAGTATCCTAGGGTATTGGATACCCCCCGCCCCATCCTTGTGGATACCAAAATCCACAGATGCTTGATTCCCTTATATAGAATAACATAATGTTTGCATTTAACCTACAAACACACACATATATATATATATATATATTTTTTTTTTGGACAGGGAAGGTACTGGAGATTGAACTCAGGGGTACTCAACCACTGAGCCACATCCCCAGGCCTATTTTGTATTTTAATTAGAAACAGGGTCTCACTGAGTTGCTTAGTGCCTTGCTTTTTCTGAGGCTCTCGATCTTTCTGATCTTCCTGCCTCAGCCTCCCAGGGAAGCTGGGATTACAGGTGTGGGCCACCATTCCCAGCACCTGTATACTTTAATCATCTCTAAATTATGATGCCTAATGCAATGTAGGTACTATATAAATAGTTATAATACTAAATTGTTTAGAGAATGTGACAAGAAAAAGTCTGTACATTTTCAGTACAGACAGAACTTGTTTTTTTTTTTCTTTCTTTCTTTTTGGTGTGGAGATTGATTCTCAGGCCTTATTCATGAAAAGCACACTAAGTTACCAATAAACTATGCCCCCACTCCAGATGCAACTTTTTTTTTCAAATATTTTTAATCTATGGTTGTTTGAGTCTGATATGGAACCTAAGAGGGCTGACTGTATTATTTGCTTCCATTTCTTATACCATGTTCAGGCTTTATGAATTTATTCTATGTTCTTATTTGACTTTGAGGGTGCTGACAAGCCACTACTCAGAAACACTAGAGAAGGATTTATTAGTACATGGTAGTGAGCTCCTATACATGTATGAGAGAAAATTCAAAAGAGATAAGACAAAGTGGGAATTGGATGTGTGTTTATATTTGAGGCACTATACCTGTGAGAAGACACATGAGTGGGAGAAGACATCTGTGTGTAGATGAAAGAGAAAGTCAATTGTGAATATGTATAAAAGGGAGAGAGAGAGAGAGAGAGAGAGAGAGAGAGAGAGAGCGAGAGAGAGCGAGCACGAGCTCGCTGACTAGAAGGGACACCCACCAATAACAGACATCCTCTTGCGCACATTGTTGAAGTCCAAAATAGCCAGCAGCTGATAGACTCTGGTTTTTCCCATTTCGACCACTGTGATAGTCTCAGACGTGCGGGAACGGAACACAAAGCCAAGGTTTCTGGCAGCAGTGACCAGGGCACCTTCATCTGGGGACTGAGCCTGGTACACCAGCTCACCTGACAGGAGAGAAGAGGGCAACTAGAGCCCACAGAGATGAGCTGCTGAAGTCCACCCAGAATTGACACTGTCTTCCAAGTGGCTTAAATAAAGATGGAGCCCAGGAGGGTACATCTTTCCTCAAACTTCTTCACAAGTCTGGTGCTAAAAGGGCAGGTTTATAAAACATGTCAATCTCTTTTCCCGTCCAATACTTCCAACTTGTTTCATAGACCTGAGTTAATATCACACAGGTAAATGATATTTGCAATGTATACAAACAAAACAGGCATTCCGTTCCAACTTTATGGGTAAAGATTGGTTCAGAGAACTTATTAAAAATGAGGTTCCTGGGCCCCACTCAAACGTACTGAATCCACAATCACAAAATTTGGAAGAAGGACCTAGGAAGTTGAATTTTTAATAAATCTCTTAGTGGATTCTCATGTACGTGGCATAAATTGCCGTGGAAGACTGGCCACACTTGGCTAAACACTGCTATGCAAGATAAAAGACAGATGATTTAGTAAGCAGTTTAAAATAAATGTGTAGATGCATATTATCACCTTTAACTCACCCTGAGAAGTTAAATGACTCACTCTGTTGAATCAGCTTTCAATCTGGTATTAATCAGGATATTTCTAGAACTCAACTTTGTTAGACTATTATCACAACATGTATCTTTTTTTTTGGCTATTTCTCATCTGAAGGTCAATTTGATTTTTAAAACAGGCATCATCAGAGTCTTATACTTGTGAACATGGAAGGTAAGTGGATAATATTAGGTCAGACATAAGAAATATCTACTGGACAATTGAGGCCAAATATGCTTTAAATAATAGCATCTTGTTGCAATGGCAGACACAAAGAAACATGAGGGATGCTGCTATGGTCACAGGGCCAGGAGATAAGAAATTTGGATTCTTATCTCTACCCTTCAGGGTTTTTGTTGTTGGTGGTAGTGGGGATTAAATCTAGGGATGTCTTGCCATTGAGCTATATCCTCAGCTCTTTTTATGTTTTGAGACAGGGTCTCAGTAAGTTGCTTAGGGCCTCTCTATAGTTTGCCGAGGCTGGCTTTGAACCTGTGATCCTCCTTTGGCTTCCCAATTCGCTGAGATTACAGGTGTGCACATGCCAGTGCACCTGGTTTATCTCTAACCTTCTGAACTATAGGATTTTAGGCAAGTAACTTAATCTCTTTTTAAAAATCAATTTCTTTTTTTTTTACAATTGTTTTTGTAGTTGTAGATGGACAGCATGCCTTTATTTTGTTTATTTTTATGTGGTGCTAAGGATTGACATGCTAAGCAAGTGTTCTGCCACTGAGGCACAACCCAAGCCCACAATCTCTTTCAACTTTAGTTTCCTTCTCAGTAAGATTGGGATCATGTTTTCTGTTCTGCCTCAGAACAATAACCTCAGAGGGTTATTGTAAAGATCATAGAAGATAAATGAAAGCTATTTATAAAACTAAAGTAACGGGCTGGGGATGTGGCTCAAGCGGTAGCGCGCTCGCCTGGCATGCGTGCGGCCTGGGTTCGATCCTCGGCACCACATACCAACAAAGATGTTGTGTCCGCCGAGAACTAAAAAATAAATATTAAAAAATTCTCTCTCTCCTCTCTCACTCTCTCTTTAAAAAAAAAAAAACTGTAAAGTAACATAAATATAGGGCATTACTGGTGGTAATATTAAGAGACTATTGACACGCGGCTGGGGATGTGGCTCAAGCGGTAGCGCGCTTGCCTGGCATGCATGCGGCCCGGATTCGATCCTCAGTACCACATACAGACAAAGATGCTGTGTCAGCCAAATAATGAAAAAAAAAATATTAAAAATTCTTTCTCTCTCTACCGCTCTATCTCTCTCGCTCTCTCTTAAGAAAAAAAAGAGACTATTGACTTTAAAGTACACTATTCATTTGGTTGTGTACATTTGCTCTCTCTTTTTTAAGTATGGAGATTAAACCCAGCGGCACTTTACCACTGAGCCACATCCCAACCCCTTTTTCTTTTTTTGAGACAGGGTATTGCTGAGTTGCTGAGGATCTCACTAAGTTGCTGAGGCTGGCCTCAAACTTGGGATCCTCCTCCCAAGTCACTGAGATTATAGGTGTGTACCACCACACCCAGCTATATTTTTTTCTTGTTAAGAAAAAAATCTTAATTTATAATCATTAATTTCTCACTCATTGTTTTTTGAAAAATTTTGGATAAATTAATCAATGATTTTGCTACATTTGTTACTGAAATAACTAAGATAAACTAGATGTGGTAGTATACACATCTGCAATCCCAGCTACTGGTTAGGCTGAGGCAGAATGATAACATTCAACTGTCAGCCTGGGTAACAATATAGCAAGACCCTGTGTCAACAACAGCAGCCAAAAAAAAAAAAAAAAAGAAAAGAAAAAGAAAATAAGAGGACAACTAAACTCATTATTTAGAAAGTCTTGTCAGAGATGGTAGGATTACTCTTGGGGACAATTCAGAAGTTCCCTACATGGCATTAAGTGTGAAACCTGTTCAATGACTAAATCTTTCTTAAAAACCAAGAGGTATCCAACTGAGCATGGTGGTGCACGCCTATAATCTCAGCAGCTCAGGAGGCTGAGGCAGGAGGATCACAAGATCAAGGCCTGCCTCAGCAATTTAGCAATTTTGTCTCAAAATGAAAAATTTAAAAAAGGGATGGGGATGTGGCTGAGTGGTTAAGCACCCCTGAGTTTAATCCCTGGTACCAAAGAAACAAACGAAAATCCCCCAAAATCAAGAGGTGGTTTCTTATTTGAGTTCTCCCAGCTAATTACTTGTCTTGACTACATGTTCTATTGCAGGACAATACTCCCTGTTGGAAAGTTCTTTTTCAGATTAAGCCATACAAATCATATCAAACCATCTCACCTCCAACCCACCTACACTATGACACATTCTCAGTCCATGAAGCCTCAGGCCTCCCTCACCTTCTACTTTCTCTTGTGACATCACAGTATGACATAATGAGAGGGAGAGGAAAAACAAGTGCACCCGGTAATCTCCTTTTTTTACTGCTTCCACCAAAGTCTTGTCATTAAATGGAAAGGCAGGACCGGCCAGCTTTTTGAAGTTATCTTTTCCTTTCTGGAACATATAAGCCAGAACAAAGCTGTCAATAGCTTGACATTTTATAGATCAACTTGGGGGTAGTTTCTGGAATGTGATGAGAACTCTTGAGAAGGGAAAAGCAAGATAAATACTGTGCTGGTTTCTCAGGTACTTATAGCTCTCACCTGAACCATCCAGTTGCTTGGGCCACAAGAGATCCTTCCCACAGGAGACAAGCTGAGCACTACCTGGCAGACTCTTTTTTTAAAAAAAATTTTAAATTTTTTAATTTGCTGTTTTAAGATATATATGACAGTAGAGTATATTTTGACATATTATACATACATGGAGTACAACTCCAGTCAGAATTCCATTCTTGTGGTTGTACATAATACACACTAGTCCATGTATTCATTTAGGAGCAAAGGAAAATTATTTCGGATTAATTCTGTCTTTCCTATTTATAACCCCTCCTCCCTTCCCTTCATTTCCCTTTATCTAATCCAATGAATCTATTCCTCCCCTCCCTACCCTCCCTTGTTGTGGGTTAGTATCCACATATCAGAGAGAACATTCAGCCTTTGGGTTTTATTTGGTTTTTTTTTGAGACTGGCTTATTTCACTTAGCATGATATTTTTCCAGTTCCATCTGTTTGAGAGCAAATGCCATAATTTCATTTTTTATGGCTGAGTAATAATTCCATTATGTATATGAACCACATTTTCTTTATCTATTCATCTGGTTCCATAGCTTGGCTACTGTAAATTGAGCTGTTATAATTATGTGGCTGCATCATTGTCCTTTAAGTATAAACTGAGGAGTGGGCCATTGGATCAAATGGTGGTTCCATTAAAAGTTTTCTAAGGAATTTCCATACTGCTTTCTAGAGTGAATGCACCAATTTGTAGTCCCACCAGCAATGCATCAGTGAACCTTTTTCCCCACATCCACACCAATGTATCCTTAGTAATTGCCATTCTGACTGGAGTGAGATGGAATCTCAATGTAGTAATGTAGTTTTAATTGGCATTTCTCTAATTGCCATTCTGACTGGAATGAGATGGAATCTCAATGTAGTAATGCAGTTTTAATTGGCATTTCTCTAATTGCTTCTTCTGTGCAGTGCCTATTTAGTTTCTTTGCCCATTTATTGATTGGGTTATTTGTTTGGTGTTGAGTTCTATGTATATCCTGGAGATTAATTATGCTCTAGCTGAGGTGCAGAGAGCAAAGATTTTTTCCCATAGGTTCTCTCTTCATGTCTTTGTTTCCTTTGTTGTGAAATTTTTTAGTTTGATACCATCCCATTTACTGATTCTTGATTTTACTTTTGGTGTTTTTGGAGTCTTGAGGAAAGTTGAGCCGACATGATTGAGAGTTGGGCCTACATTTTCTTCTGGTGTGCACAGGGTCATTGGTCTAAGGCTTGGGTTCTTGATCCATGAGTTGATTTTTGTGCAGGGTGAGAGGGGTTGAATTTCATTCTGCTATATATGGATTTCCAGTTTTTCCAGCACCACCTGTTGAAGAGGCTCTCTTTTCTGCAATGTATGTTTATGGTGCCTTTGTCTAGGATGAAATAACTGTATGTGGTACTCACCTGTGACACTACTGGAGTGGTCTTTTACTCAGTACTGACCCATGGGGACTTAGATCTCCGCTTGGGAACGATCCCCAGCATTCCCATGTGTAGACTGCCCAAGGTGTGAGATTTCTGCCCTCGCTCTACCAATGGGACAGCTCTCATAGCTCTGGACTTGGGCGTTTCCATTAGGCTTGGACAGCCCACCTCCTACCTTATTTGGCAAAAGAACATTCCATTGAATTCCTTTTGAAGCCCCTTTGTATAAATAAAGTGGGTTCTTGTGCTCTCTCTCTTTCCAGTGTGGAAGCTTGGCCCATAAGGTCATAGAGCAGTTCTGCCCCCGCTTTCTAAAAATTACTTCCCTATTGTGTGGTCTTTTTACCGCCAGCCTTCGCCACGCAGAGGAACTGTTTCCACTGCCTGAGCAGGACGTGAGCGACTGTATTTATGTGGGTTTGTCTCTGTGTCTTCTTTTCTGTTAATATTACTCTGTAGTATAATTTAAGGTCTGGTATTGTGATGCCTCCTGTTTTGCTTTTCTCGCTAAGGATTGCTTTGGTTATTCTGGGCCTCTTATTATTCCAAATGAATTTCATGATTGTTTTTTCTATTTCTGTGAAGAACATCATCAGAACATTAATAGAAATTGCATTAAATATGTATAGCACTTTTGGTAGTATGGCCATTTTGACAATATTAATTCTGCTATCCAAGAACATGGGAGATCTTTCCATCTTCTAAAATCTTCCATTTCTTTCTTTAATGTCCTGTAGTTTTCATTGTAGAGGTCTTTCACCTCTTTCATTAGATTGATTCCCAAGTTTTTAATTTTTTTTGAGGCATTATGAATGGGATAGTTTTCCTAAATTTCTCTTTCAGCTGCTTCCTCATTGGTATATAGGAACACAATTGATTTATGGGTGTTAATTTTATACCCTGCTACTTTGCTGAATTTGTTTATGAGTTCAAGAAGCTTTCTAATGGATTTTTTTTTTGTTTTCTCAATATAGAATCATGTCATCAGCAAATAGGGATAGTTTGAGCTCTTCTTTTCCTATCTGCATCCCTGGATTGAACCCCACTTGATTGGTGCATTGTCTTTTTAATTTCTTTGTCTAATTGCTCTGGCTAGGGTTTTAAGGACTCTGTTGAATAGAAGTGGTGAAAGTGGGCATATTATGTGTCTTGTTCCAGTTTTAAGAGGGAATGCTTTTCAATTTTCAACCATTTAGAATGATGTTGGCCTTGGGCTTAGCACATATAGATTTTACAATGTTGATGTATGTTCCTACCATCCCTAGTTTTTCTAATGTTTTGAGCATGAATGGATGTTGAATTTTGTCAAATGCTTTTTCTACTTCTATCAAGATAATCATGTGATTCTTGTCTTTAAGTTGACTGATGTGATGAATTACATTTTTGATTTTTGTATGTTGAACCAATCTTGCATCCCTGGATTTGAACCCCACTTGATTGGTGCATTGTCTTTTTAATATGTTTTTGCATGTGATTTGCTAGTATTTTGTTAAGAATTTTTGCATCTATTTTCTTGAGGGATATTAGTTTCAAGTTTTCTTTCACTGATGTGTCTTTTTGGTAACAATGTGATACTAGCAGTGTGATACTCATAGAATGAGTTTGGAAGGGTTCCCTTCTTTTCTATATTGTGGAATAATGGGAGGACTATTGGTATAATTTCCTCATTGAAGGTCTGGTAGAACTCAGCTGAGAATCCATCTGGTCCTGGGCTTTTCTTTGTTGGTAGGCTTTAGATGGCATCTTCATTGCTAGAAATTGATCTGTTTAAATTTTCTATGTCTCTTGATTCAATTTGGATAGGTCATATGTCTTTAGAAATATATGGATGTCTGCTGAGGGCCATTGCCAAGTAGGAATGACGCATCGAAATTTCCTTGCCAGCATACCCCATGTTAAATGGACTTGCCTTGGAATTTCGCTGTTGACATTGCATGTAAGGTGACCTTGCTTAAGGATCAGGGCAGATCCGGGTTTAGAGCTGATCAGGTTTGAGGAAGTATCCCGCTCCTTGAGTTTAAGGCGTTCCAGGTTTAAGACAAGTTTAGGGCGTTCCTGGTTTAAAACAATAGGGGTTTTAGGGAAATTGGAGGTTGAAGATTATTGCTGCTGGGATTAGGGTGTTCCTGCTGCTTGTTCCCATTGAGATTCAAATAAGATTTGAAAAAAAGCCTCGTGGAGTAGGTGAATTGTGCGGGCAGAACTGAGATTTCCCCTCAACGTGTGTGTGGAGGCCGGTGTGAGTTCGGGAATAAAGAATTGTTGTTTGAATCTACAAAGCTGTGAGTGGCTTGTGATTCAGTGCCAAGCACAGACATTGGCATTGATGTCTTCATGATTTTCTCTTTTTTTGGAGTATAGGTTTTCAAAGTAGTTTGATTATTGTCTGTATTTCAATAGTGTCCATGATGATATTTCCTTTTTCATCACAAATATTAGTAATGTGCATTTTCTCTTTCTTCATTAGCTTAGCTAAGGGTTTATCCATTTTATTGATTTTTTTTCAAAGAATCAACTTTTTTGTTTCATTGATTTTTTTTGAATTTTTTTTCTCTCTCTGTGTGTGTGTGTGTTTCAATTTCATTGATTTTTAGCTCTGATTTTAATTATTTTCTGTCTTCTGCTTTTCTTGATTTGTTCTTCTTTTTCTAGGGCTTTGAGATGTAATGTTAGGTTATTTATTTGGTGACTTTCTATTTTTTTAAATAATGTGCTCAGTGCAATGGATTTTTCTCTTAGAACTGCCTTCATAGTGTCCCAGAGATTTTGATAACTTGTGTTGCTATTCTCATTACCTCTAAGTATTTTTTAAAAATTTCATCTCTGATTTCTTCTTCAATCCATTGGTCATTCAATAGTGTATTTTTTAGTCTCCAGGTGGCTTTTATTTTTTATTTTATTGTTGATTTCTAATTTCATTTCATTATGATCTGAAAGAATGCAAGAAATTATCTCTATTTTTTTGTATTTGCTAAGAGTTGCTTTGTGGCCTAAGGTATGGTCTGTTTTAGAGAAGGATCCATGTGTGGCTGAGAAAAAAGTATATTTAGTCATTGAAGGATGAAAAATTTTATATATGTCTGTTAAGTCTAAATTATTGTGTTTTTCAGTTATATAGCTTCTTTAGTTTAGGTTTGGAGGATCTATCTAGTGATGAGAGAGGTGTGTAGATGTCATCCAGTATTATTGTGTTGTGGTCTACTCAACTCTTAAAATTCAGAAGGGTTTTTTTGATGTACTTAGGTGCTACACTGTTTGGGTCATAAAATTTACGATTTTTATGTTTTGTTGTTGTATAATTCTCTTAAGGGGTAGGAAATGACCTTCTTAGTCCCTTCTGATTAACTTTGGCTCAAAGTCCACTTTATCTGATATGAGGATAGAAACCTCTGCTTGTTTATGAGATCCAGGTGAATGATATATATTTTTTCCTCATCTTTTCACCTTTAGTCTATGGGTGTCTTTGCTTATGAGGCAAGTCTCTTGGAGACAGCATATTGCTCAGTCTTATTTCTAATCCAATCATGGAAGACCCTCTTGTTCCACTTTTACCCCAGATATTCTGAATGACTTACAGCTATCTTTAAACTACTCTTTGAACTTTCAAATCATATCCGATAATCAAACCTGAGGATGTGAGGAGGTAAACACTCCCTATTCTTTTTTTAAAATATATATTTTTTTGTTATCGATGGGCCTTTAATTTATTTAAAGTGCATTGCTGAGAACTGAATCCAATGCCTCACACACAAGGCAAGCCCTCTACCACTGAGCTACAACCCCAGCCCAACATTCCCTATTCTTAAGTGATGTTTGGGGAGAGTCTTGTTTCTCATTGTCTTCTGCCTGACTGGGGAGTTGAGAAGGGAACAGAGTGCTAAATACAGTGGCATCACTGTGTTGCACTATTTTTGCCCCACAGGACAAAAGAGGGCTAGAAACAGTAGATGACAGTCCAAATGAACCACTTCTCAGTTGCCAGTCTTTGCTCATATTAAAAACAACTTACAAATGATTAGCTTTTGTATCTAATCTCTGATTATTAAAATGTTTATAAAGTTTATTTTTGCCAAAGAGATGCAATTCATTATGATAAAGTATTGCAGAATAAACCTTATTTTGTAACATTTAAAAAAATAGGAATAGAAAGGAATATTGCAAGACAAAGATAAGGTCTCATGACAAAGAATCTGCAGTACATGATTGTTCACAGACTTAATTTTGCTTTCACTTATCAATATACCTGGTCCTTCCTGTCTCTGACTCTCAAATATCTTAGGGATTATAGTATGCAGAGTATGAAAGAAATGGAGGAAAATGGATATGTTCTCAGTGAAAGTCATGTTTTAGTTTAGACAGGGAGAAGAGAGCCTTTTTATGAAGAGATTGAAATAGCAATTAAGTTTGTTTATAAGAAAAGAAATTCCAGTGATATATAGCAAAGTGTTCTATGATTAATCAGTAGTGAAAGGAAGAAGAAAGAGAAAGAAACTCCAGGGAGAATTTAATACCTAGAAAGTATAACTTTGTTTACACAGTCAAGGTTGCCAAGAAAGCTCCTGAAAAACTATTTATGAAAAGGAGTGATTTTCCTTCCCCTTCCCAATCTCTTTGGATGGGTAGGTAAGGTGGACATTGAGAGTAGAGCCAGCTGTAAGTAAGTCAAATGGTTAAGGTTTGGGGTTGGATCTCTATCAGGACAGGGATACAGTAAGGAGTAACTTGGAGGCAAGGGAGGAAGCCCTGTGCAGGAATGCTTAAAATCAACCCATACACAAAAGCTGACGTCCAATGCTGCAGAAAATAGTAAAAATGAATAGCTAGAGATAGGAAGAGTGCATAAGAAGATTATTTTTATAATTGTATGCGTAAGGACTGTTGAGTTTGTCATGAATCCTAGAAGAAAAAAAGATTTGATTACATAAGTTTAAAACTTCTACACAGAAAAAATTATTTAAAAAACCAAACACCATAAAAAATGTGGCATATATACACAATGGAATTTACTCAGCAATAAAAGAGAATAAAATCATGGCATTTGCAGGTAAATGGATGGAGTTGGAGAAGAAAATGCTAAGCAAAGTTAGCCAATCCCAAAAAAACAAATGCCGAATGTTTTCTCTAATATAAGGAGGCTGACTCATAGTAGGGTAGGGAGAGGGAGCATGGGAGAAATAGAATAGAGACTAGCTCTAGATAGTGAAAAGGGGTGGGAGGGGAAGGGAGGAGGGCAAGGGGTTAGGAATGATGGTAGAATGTGAATGACATCAGTATCCAAAGTACATGTATGAAGACATGAATTGGTGTGAACATACTTTATATACAGAGATATGAAAAATTGTGCTATATATATGTAATAAGAATTGTAATGCATTCCGCTGTCATGTAGTTAAAAAATAAAATTAATTAAAAAAAGAAGAACCAAACACCAAAAGACAAAATGGAAAAAATAAAGAGTTGTTTTTTACTATATGAAGAGCTCTTTAAATAAGAAAAAAAAGGGCAAAGAACAAGTATAAGTAGGCAATAAAGAGATTTGTAAGGGGAAAGAAAATAAGCACATAAGAAAAATTCAACCTCATTAGAAACCAAAGCAAGGTAAATTAAGAATGCAATATTGCAGGAGAGTGGGATGGGAAGAGGTTGATCAATGGGTAAGTTACTGTTAGGTAGGATCAAGAAGTTGTGGGGCTGGGGATATAGCTCAGTTGGTAGAGTGCTTGCCTCATATGCACAAAGTCTTGGGTTCAATCCCTAGCATCACACACACACATAAAAAAAGAAGTTGTGGTATGCTATTATACAGAAGGGTAACGATACATAATAATAATGTACTTTATATTTTAAAAAAACTAAGAAAAGAATTTTTAATATTTTTACCAGAAAGAAATAATGTTTGAGTAGATATGTTTACCCTGATATGAATATTACAGTTTATATATGTGTATATACATATATCAAAACATCACAATATTCTATAAATAAGTATACTTTTAATGTTTTTCTTTATAGTTAAAAATTAATTTCAAAATGAGATATTATTTTTCACCCAATTAAATTTCCACAGATTAAAAAACTGTTATGACCCAGTACTAACAAAAATATGGGGGAAAAAGAATTGTCATATATTTTGGGGGGTATGTATGTGATACCATTCTGTTTGGAGGGCAATATAAGAAAATTAAATGTATTAAAAATAGGGCTACTCTTTGACCAAGCAATTTTACTTCTGGGGATTTATTCTAAGAAAGCATAACTATATAATAATGTATATACCAGGTACTTAACAAAATTCTATTGTAATAGCAAAATGGAAAAAAATAGGGATTGGTTATATTAAAGTACACTAATACAACTGGATACTTATTACATACCCCTTAAAGATAATAAACCATGGGCTGGGGTTGTAGCTCAGTGGTGGAGCACTTGCTTAGCATGTGAGCTACTGGGTTGAATTCTCAGCACCACATATCAATAAATAAATACAATAAAGGTCTATCAACAATTAAAAAAATTTTAAAAGAAAAAAATAATAAACCTATATCTGCTGAGATTGAAAGATGACCTCACTACAGTTTCAGGTGAACAAAGAGAAGGTGAAAATAGCATTCTATCTATATATCTAGCTATCTAGCTATTTGTCAGGAAAACCCTACAAATTTTACATTGGTCACCAAAATTGGATTGAATAGTGTTAACTTTCTTCTTTACATATTTCTATATTATTTGAATTTTTTTTACAATGAGCACAAATTCTTTTTTTTTTTTTAAAGAGGAAAAGACAACATAGCTATTTTCATTAAAACCCCCAAATTCCCTCAGATAAACATAGACCATTTACATAAGGGTTTCTGATATTTTGAGGCTAGTAAAAGCTTTAATATTTCGGGGACTGAGTTCCCTTTGTATTAGAGATGCTTCCACGTGGCACAGTCTCACCCAGCTCCCAAATGCGTTTCCCAGAAAGCTATAATCACTCACCTCAGGTAGTGACTCCCTTAGTTCCTCCTTGTTACAGGAATTACCTATTGGCAAGCAAACAGAGTAGAGACTTGGCATGGGGTTTAAAAGAGGGTTTAATTCTAATTGTGGTAAAATACATATAACACAAAAGCTGCCATATTAACTGTAAAATTCAGTGGCATTAACTACATTTACAATGTTGTACAACTATCACCACTATTCCAAACAGAAACTTCCTATTCCTCCCCATCCCTCTCTAGTAACCTCTATTCTACTTTCTATTTCTATGAATTTTCCAATTTTCTGTATTTCATAGAAGTAGAACTCTGCTTTTTATATCTGGCTTTTCACTTGCATAATGTTTTTTTTATATGGGGCTTTTCAAGGTTCATCTATGTTGTATTATGTATCAAACTTTATTAATTTTTATGGCTAAAATAATATTCCTTTGAATTTATATACTTTTAAAAAATCCATTCATCTGTTGATGGCCACATGAATTATTTTCACCTTTGGGCTATTGAAAATAATGTTGCAATGACTATTTGTGTATATCTGTTTGAGTCTTTGTTTCATTTTGTGGTGGATACCTAGGAATGGAATTGCTGAGTCAATGATAATTTAAAGGAGTGTTTTTAAAAACATTTCTTTTGATTCTTCATCTTAGGTTTGTAGTCAAGTTGCCTCGAATCCCCTCAGGCCACCTAACCCTCAGTGTCCCTAGTAAGCTCCTTTCCCTAAACCAAAGACAAGAAGAAGTCTTCTGATTGGGCCCCATTCAGCTCTTTTCCCTTAAGACTCAAGGCCAGGCTAGAGGTTAGTCATTGTATCTTTTGAGAGACTTCCAAACTTAGGAAGCCACTCAATCAAAAAGTTACCTAGAAGAGGAGTGGAATTAATTACAGAGTGTTTAGGATTCTTGACCAGTGGATGGTACAGACAGATGAATGGAGGACAACCTGATGCCAAGTACAGAAATGATCCTTTCAACCTTACCCAGTCATTCAGGTCGGGAAATGAGCCAGAGAATTATCATCCTCACCTAAATCAACTCATCAAAAAATTAGTCTTCAGAGTTTATACAAATAAAAGCTTGGTTTAAAATAGTAATAGAAAAATATCAGAATGTTCTTTTTCTAATTTAAAATTTTTAATTTTTTATTGAGGTGAAATCCATACAACATATAATGAACAGTTTTAAAGTGTACAGTTTAGGAGCATTTGATACTTTCACAATGTTGTGTAGCTACCACCTCTATCAAGTTCAAAACTTTTTCATCACTCCAGAAGACAATGCCATGTGCTCTAGCTTTTCAGGTGTGATTACCTCCTTCTGCTGTCTAGGGCAGGAGGCATGAATATTCACACACATGAGGATTTAATTCTCACAAAAACAAGGTTATGTTTAAGGCATACAATAAATGAAGGACTAGCCATGGAAGACACTAATCAAACCGATAGCTTCTTTCAGTACTGTTTGTGGGTTTATTTTGTTCTTTCTAGATATACATGATGACAGAGTGTATTTTGCACATTATTCATGTATAGAATAAGTATAACTTGTTCCAGTTAGGATCCTGTTACTTTGGTGATATATGATGTGTATTCATATACAAGAATAAGAAAGATATGTGTGATTCATTTTTCTCTCTTCTATTCCCATCCTCTTTCCCTTCCCTTCATTCCCCTTTGTCTATTTGTTGATCTAAAGGGGAATCAGGATTAGAGGTTTCAATACTATACTGTTTTATCTGATTTATTTTTATTTATGGTTAATTTTTTTCTTTTAAATTTATTTATTTGTTCTAATTAGTTATTTATGGTTATTTTTTTTTAGAGAGTGAGTGAGAGAGAGGGGGACAGAGAGAGAGAGAGAGAGAATTTTAACATTTATTTATTTTTTCTTAGTTCTCGGCGGACACAACATCTTTGTTGGTATGTGGTGCTGAGGATCGAACCCGGGCCGCACGCATGCTAGGCGAGCGCGCTACAGCTTGAGCCACATCCCCAGCCCTTATGGTTATTTTTAATTGACAATTATTTAGGTATATTTATGGATAAAATGTGATGCTTTCATATATGTATACACTGTGAAATGATTGTCAAGTTAATTAACATGTCAAATTAATTATCACTTCCCATGTAATAATATTTGAAATATATTCTTTTAGAAATTTTGAAATATACAATATACTATTGCCAATTGTAGTCATTGTGCTCTCTAGTAGATCTCAAAAACTTATTCTTTCTATCTCACTGAAAATTTGTAGCCATTAACCAACACCCACCTGATTTAATAGCCAATGAACTGAGTATATTGTTTTTCCTCAGTACATTGTAAATTCCTTGAGGACAGAGAGTAAGTCTCGCACATTTTGGTATTCTCAGTGTCCACACAATGGACTCCATCTACAAGGTACTAAATTTGCACTTTTTGGTTGGAACTGAGTGGGCTGGGTGTTTTTTGCTTAGTGAATAGAAAGGACTATGAGAATAGTAGGTAAATGTGAATTTCAGAAGCTCATAGATTTAAAGCTAGTTTACTCTTTTTCCCCCACCATGGGAGAAAAACATGACACATTTATTTGATAATAGTTTTATATGATAAAGATACTCTCAGATAAAAAATGGAAGACCCTGGATAAATAATTAAGGATCTGAACTAATGGCAATAGATTTGAGTGGGGAAACCTAGCAAGGTCTGTCTGTTCAGATTCTTCCTGGCTACTCAGTTGTGGCCTTTCTTCCTCCTGGGTGTAGTATAGGATCCCTCTGGAATAAGGGTCTTAATTTTTTTTATGGTCAGTAAAACTAGTTTACTCTTAAACTAGCAAAGCAGAATTTTTCTAGGACTCAGGAAAGCAGCAAGGCATACGTACCATAGACCTTTCCATTGATAGAACACTTGTTGAAAATCATGATGTTCTGAGTCAATGTCCCTGTTTTATCAGAGAACAAATATTTGACCTGGCCAAGCTCCTCATTTAGTGTGGTAGTACGCGCCTGTGCTGGGGTGTTCTTTGGTTGATAAAACATATTCCGATCCCAATTGATATAAAAACTGTTGCCTAGTCTTATTATTTCAACACTAAGGAGAAAGCAAGAAAAGAAAGGTCTTGGTCAGAGCATGACAAATATATTATCTTGGTTTCTTCTTACTGGTCCCATGGCATGTCAGGAGCCAGCATCTGAAAATCAGAGCATCTTCTCTAGGAACCTGCTCTCCTGAAGGAACTTTCTTAGCAAGCAGCACATCAAAACTGACCTTGAGGGCTGGGGTGGCTGCTCAATGGTAGAGTGCTCGTCTAGCATGTGTGAGGCACTGGGTTCAATCCTCAGCACCACATAAAAATAAAATAAAGATACTGTATCCACCTACAACTAAAAAATAAATATTAAAAAAAAACTGACCTTGACTATCACCATGAAAGGCTTTACCACCTAGATCCAGATATACCTGATTAACTTGTCTGAGTTGCACTCCCCTTTCACTTTTTCTAAAATGCATCCAGGAAAAGTCACAAATTTTTTAACTTTTGGAATATTATTTGACTTATAAAAGGCTAAGTTGACCTAATTAAAAGATTAATTCTGCTATATTGTGGAGAAGAGAGAGAAACCTGTCATACTCAGAGTTTCATTGTTTCAGAAGAAGAGAAGAAGCTGTGAAAACCAGAAATGGCTTATGGGCTGACCTGAAAAATTCCTAGGCAGTCAGCCTGCCTGTGGGATGCCTTTTCCCTAATGGCCTCTCTGTTTCTATCAATTTCCATGTTGCCTTTGTCACATTTGCTCTTCTGCTGCAAATAACATGCATTCTAGATATTTTATGGTCAATAACATTTTCATTTTAAAACTATGAAGATTTTTAAGGGACCTCCTTCTTGTCATCATTTATACTTAATGTATGTTAAACTGATTTGTCAGTGACCCCTGTCTGAAACAGCAGCATTGAAAAGCCTGAGTCTTTTTCTTTGAGCTGAAGAAAGAATTATTCAAATTCTCATGGGTGACTCTATTGATGATCCTCATGCTTGGAGTCATACTTGACCCCTTCTAGGCTTTTACCAGCCACATCAGTCTTTCTAAACCCGAACATTTAATCACATTCTTTCTTTCATTAGAAAAATCTTGGCTGGTTCCTTACTGCTTTTAGGATAAAATTCAAACTCTTTGATCTGGAATTTAAGGCTTTTCTGGATCTGACTTGAAATTATCAATCAATACCTTAGTTTAGCTTTTAAAAACCTCTACACCTTTTGTACATGCTGAACTTTCTGCTTGCAATGTTCTTTTATCTGTTTTTCCAAATATCAGTTTGATTAATACCTTTTCTGAAAACCTTCCTCACCTCTACAGATAGAATTTATCTATTCCTTCTCAAGGCGCCTATAGCACTTAAATATTTCA